CTTCCAGTTAGATAGTGCCCCTTAAATCACCAATCCCAGCCCTAATCCCTTTTCCCCTTCTACACCTGGTGATCTAGGGGTGGAATGTGCTTTTCCTCCGTAGTCTATTCTATTTTACTTTCTTCACATTACTTGAAGGAAGGAGAACAGACTGGGTTAGGAATGCCCCTGCAAGCTATCCTATAGATTGCCAGTCTGCATCAAAATTATCCACATTTGGACAAGGATCCAGCAAGTGCAAGGCCTTATGCAGCAAGTTTGTTGGACTAAAGGATGGACTAAAATTCTCACAGAAGGATTTAATGTGACTTAAATTTTTTGTATTTTATTAAAAATGTTTGATATTAATGGCTCTGGAAATAGATAGGAGTCTGGGGATATCCTGCTGGAGTGATACTTACTCAAATGTTCTACTATGGTGGTGCGAACACCTTGCTCCCAGACCTCAGTGGGCAGCCTGCACCCACTGGAATTTGCCTGCTTGGCACAGCTATTCTGTGCCAATCATGATGTCAGAGGTCCCCTATCACTAGACTTGTCCATTCAGTTTCAAACTAATTGCAATTTCATCTGTATTTTGGGCAATCAGCCGGTCGCCTGAATTACATACTCTTAAACGGCGTTACGAAGCAAGAGAAATAGACAATGGAACAAACAGTCTATTTTTTTCGTAAATCGGAGTTTCATCAGTGGGGCCAAAGAAAAGATTTTATTCCCAGAGCCAATAGAGGGAAAAAAGGAAGAACAGTGTAAAAATCTATATTTATATATTATATAGTTAATAAATATGTAATATATAAATATAGATTTATATAATACATATATATTACATATATGCTCTTCTTTTTCCTTTTATTAGTTACTTCTTAATTGATCTGTGAACCAATTATCACACAAATGCAGCTATCAGTGCACAGCAAAATATATACAAAAGTTTTGCAGTATACCGATTAGCACATATTCGTGTCTTGTTGATTCATCCAATTTGTTTTCCCAAATCGTTTCCATAGATGAAATTTGTTCAAACCCAAGCTTCAAATGAACGAATTTCACACAAACTACTGCACATGGTGGTAGTGGCTATGATGCTGAGGGTATCTCTTTTTTCCTCCTGGAAGAAGTCTTCAGCTTCATTTAAAAAGTTCCTATTATTTTGTTTTTTTACTTATTCTTTAAATTTTGTAGAAAAACATTCAATACAATGGTGATGAAATATGAATTCATTTAGGTAAACTTGGCTTCAAATCTGCATATTCACTCTTGTTGTAAAACGATATATAGTTATAATGATCAGATTTAACGTTAAGAAATCTGTACATTGAGGCTGTTTGACAGTAATTTTGCGAGGTAATTCTCCTACGTTTTGGAATGTATTAGGCAAAATTTTATTTACCAGTAACTTCCTTTTCCATAAAGTCTTACTATGACAACACATGTATTTCCCCTGTCTTGCCTTAGTAGTACAATAAATATACATAAAATTAAGCGCATTTGCAACCTTCAGTACATCAGTAAGTTCACAGTTCTCTTTTTGCGTGCCTTGATGTTGCATTTTGTAATATTTTCTAATTTTTTTTTTTCATATATATCACTTGTTGGAGGTCCTTGCATACATCATAACTCATGTCACTAATGTACTAATGTAATAAGCTATTATCAGGCAGGAAGCACCACAGATAGCATGATGTAAAGAGGCATAAACTTCCTGTGCAGCCTTTGTTTGCTTTAAGAACTAATGAAAGGATGAGAATAATAATATTTTTAATATACAGAGCATCAATAAACTCCCCAGCTCTATTCAATACTACTGTGTGATAAACAAGATAATGTACAAAATTAAGTATTACGTGAGAATATGTGGTAGTTTTTTTCTATTTTACTTTAAGCAGAAGGTATGGGGATGCATGAAAGATGATAATCAAGAAGGTTATTCTGCCCCCTTCCCCCTTCCACCACCCCACATATACACCAGGACCACACGAACCCCATCCACCCATAGCACGGGTTGGCGGAAATCTTACCCCCATCTCTCCCCACAGCTCCCAGACCACACCTAACCAACAACTCTATAACGCACATAAGCGAAAGCCCGCCGACTAACCAACACAACCTCAAGTGGGCACCCAAACGCCAAACCGCAAGTTTTGCATCTTAAATGCTTGTTCATGCTTTTTTTCTTTTTTCATTAATTCAGGTATGTCCATGACATCAGTGTATGTATTCAGGGACATATCTGTATTGATGATCTTTATGTGTGTATAAATGTAGGGCCATATTTGCATGTACTTTGTGTCTGTGTGAACACAGGTATGCATGTGTAGAGGGTCAGTGTGTGTAAACACAGGGACAAATATGTATGAATGAATGAGAGTAAATGTGCTTGAAAGCATAGGAGTAGGTGTGAATGAATGCAGGGGTGTTTTATATGAAGTGGCTTTGTCTGAATGAAAGGGGTGGTCCTTGTACCCACAATGTCTGTAGTCTATTACAAACTCCAGTAGATAGTAGTCCATTCTCCTCATCTGCTCCCTCTAGGTAGTAAACTATTTTCTGACCCCCAATAGCTAGTAGCCCATCTGACCCCCATGGTTAGAAGCCCACTCTCCTCCAGAAATAGTAGAATCAAGGCATAGGAGGGCCACAAAAGATACCACACACAAAACTGGGGAGGTATTAATAATTTCCACCACTAAATAATATTAATAGTTGTTGGAGGGGGGGGCCAGAGGATGTATTGGGTGTAGGGGTGAGTTAGAGGCTATAGTGGATAGAGGGTGATGGACGTCATAGTAGTCACAGGGGGTAATAGGGGCTTTAATAAGTGCAAGGGGAAATAGGGGCTGTAGTGGGTGCATGGAACATGGTGCTTGCAGTGGGGACAATGGGACATATAGGCTTCAGTGGATGTATAGAACATAGGGGCTTTAGGGCATACAGGGGTAATAGAGACTATAGTGAGTGCCGGGGGGAGAGAGGGGCTACAGTGGGTGCTGAGGGATAGGGGCTCCAGTGCGGGACAGGGGGGTAAAGACTGTAGTGGCGGCAGGCGGATCAAGGACATGATGGATACAGGGAGCGTAGGGACTGTAATTATTACAGGGACTGTAGTGTTGGCAGGGATTAATAGGGGCTATAATGGGTGCAGAGGCTAATGGGAGCTATAGTGGGCTCTAATGGGGGCCTAGGGTAATAGGGGCTGTAGTGGGAGCATGTGGTAATAGTTGCTGTTGTGGGTGCAGGGGGGATTGGGTCTGTAGTGGGTGCAGTGGGGTAGGGACTGTAGTGGGGAGCTTGTTAATCTCCCCAGCTGAGCCATTATTTTAAATCACGGGCCTACCCTCAGTCCATGACTGACTTGCCCAAGCGCTCAGTCCACCCATGTACAGTACCCTGTCTGTATAAACACTTCATAAACCTCATCCCCAAGTACATTACCCATCCTTATAATTTCATCACTCCGGTTACAATTATATCACCATATAGACATCTGAGAGTTTTTTTGACAGAATGGGCACTACAGGGAGAGCTATCCGGGATGGCATAAGTTTGGGGATCCAGGCACGGGAACCTAATTTTTTTTATACATAAATATTACATAATTACATAGTGACATAGCTGAAAATAGACTTGTGTCCATCAAGTTTAGCCTTCCTCACATATGTTTTTGCTGTTGATCCAAAAGAAGGCAAAAACAAAACCTAGTCTGAAACACTTCCAATTTTGCAACAAACTAGGAAAAAATTCCTTCTTGACCCCAAAATAGCAGTCAGACGTCTCCTTGGATCAAGCACCTATTACCCCACTAATAAGAAATTATATCCCTGTATGTTATGATTTTGCAAGTATTTATCCAATTGCAGTTTCATTTTCAGATGTCGGAGCAGCGTGAAAAACCAAATCACATTCCACAAGTCAAAATGCTCCCTTGGGTAGTAGAGACCACAACAGGGCAAAAAGGAGTGGTCAGCGATGCCTTATACAGCCCTAGGCTGTGTACCATTGGCCTTTGTCAATAATGACAACAAAATGTGCCTGTCTTTTATCAACGTGGACAGGTGTCATGTCATAAAATGACAAAGACATTGGAGAATATAAATTGAGTGCCAATTGTATGTGGGTGCTTGGTGTTCTCTGTGGGGCAGGTAGTCTGCCAATTTCTCTATTCACCTGGGGTGGTGGGTAGAGTGTAGGGGTTGGGGGGATGGGTTTGTTGAACTCTGGAGTGAGGGGGGAAGAAGCTTGTTGGTATCGTGTTGTGTTTGGCTTCCTGGTGTGAGAGGAGGTGTTATGGAGGTGAGACCCAGAGGAGCAGGCCCTTCGGTTGTGCTGGGGTTTGTTGTACAGTGTCTGTGGGGTTGCTGGTTATCTTCCATTGCGTCTGTGTCTGTTTAGTTGGTGTCGGCCTTTCGACCATTCTTTTGCGGTCCCTAGTGTGACTGCCTGAGCGAAGGCTTCCGTGCATACACTGATATCATGACATACCTGAATTAATTAAAAAAGAAAAAAGCATGCACAAGCATTTAAGATTCAAAATTTGGAGGCCTGAATACCTCATACAAAAACATTGCCAAGATCCACAAATACCTCCTTGTACTTACTGCCATGTTACACAAACACACATAAATAATACTACCCTATTTAAAAAAAAAAAAAACATGTATTTAAATATACTCTGAATCGGGGGGCGGAGCTAACCGGTGAGCTAACAAGATGCATGGCTCCTGAGCTCCGACAAAAGCAACCAGAAAAAGCCTCACGAACCGGCCAACTTTGCCTCACCTCAGAACACACAATCACTGAGAGACCCGGTACAACATGGGAAAGCACTCAAGGAATTCCCGAGGACCAAGCATGGGACATACCTGCGACATCGGCCAACTATTGTGCCAGGCCTGTAGGCCCAAAATGGTGGCGTCCCACCAGATCCGGGGTTGGATTCACTAACGGCTTCAGAGGATGATTACTTGAGTGATGTGCCGACTCCGACACCCCAGTGGAGAATGGCTCCTCCTTGGCAATCGGAACTCCCGCTGGCTACTAAGGCGGATCTGTTGGGCATGGTGACTCTTAAGGCCTTCTTCACGGCAGAACTTACCGTGCTGAAAAACCTAGAGGTGACCGCGGACAGACTGCCGCAATTCTTTAAGAAACTGTTTTCAGCCATACTGCCACCAAAGCAGACCAAAGGCCTGACTACAGACGGCCTATTCCGTATACCAGAGGGCCTACACAACAAAACCGACACCGCAAGAGATATTATCATGCGTTTTAAATCCCAACTAGACAAGGAGGGCTTCCTCAGTGCAACCAGGGGACAAACGCCGCTTACATTTGAAGACCACTCCCTAAACTTCTACCAAGACCTGAACCACCAGACTCTGCAGTGGCGCGCATCCCTGAAGGAAGTAACAATGCAGCTGAAAGCAGCTGACATCACATATAAATGGGGATACTTGAGAGCACTCATCGCAGAACGAGACGGACACCGCCACCGACTGACCTCGACAGCGGAAGTGGCCCAGTTCCTGCACTTCCTGAGCATTCACCCGGCCCCAAGCCCCATGTCGAATCCTGCACATCGCTGGGATGTTGCCAAGATCACACCTTTCACTCCAGCAAGGCCCACAGCTCCAGAATGAATAGACGTAACAGTGCTGCCCAAGATAAATGGGGGCATGTTACTGCCGGACAGTAAGAACCCACTACTCCTTTAGAGGCTATCAATTTCTTGCATTGTATACTCACTTATATATTCTTTGCTCATTTTCCGTTCCTCAGACCGTTAATTCACACGTCGCAACTGTTCCACTGACAGCATTGTGTTCCGACAAGGTTGATCCTCCCCCCATCACATACACACTACAGAGAACCACAGCAGAGCCATAGCTGAAATGGCTTACGCCTATATGGAAGAGAATATCACCCCCCCCCATCCCCAGGCTCCGGAGTTAAGGAGCAGCAATACCATGTAGACCCACACTATGACCACAGGCCTCACCAACACGAAGAATAACTCACAGATATGCACTACAACCCTCATTTTTAAACAATTTAAACATACCATAACACTGTTTTACTCTGTTTATAACGATCAAGCCTGATGATGCTGTTGTGGCGGTACAGGCACTGTTGTACCTACCTGCATATAAAAAAAATAAAATAATAATAATAAAATATATATATATATATATATATATATATGTAACGGACCATTTTGCCCACAAGAGGTTAAAAACCGTTTAGGCGATATTCCCCTTTTTCAGTTGAACCGACAGCTACTGCAAGTGCCAATCTCCTGAACTGCAAACCCACGAATTCACCAACTCCCGAACTGAAGACACACGAATAGCTGCTAGCAGACGAACAGGAAAAGCCCCCAAGCGGCTTACACTCCTGGCAATCAGTCTCTAACAGCATACAGTAAATCCTCCCCCAATAATGAGACGACACTTCACTTTGAGGGTTAAGCAGGAACTGATTTACTGGGGTTAACTGCCTGGCTTTTATGCAGGTCTCCCACCTGGTGGACATTCCCTAGGGGACCAAATGGAGACTGGGACACAAAGGGTAAAAGGACCAATCACAGACTTACACATTTCAACCATCCCACAATGCATCACAATCCCTCCTCTCTGCTCTGGAGATAATTGAGAAGTAATTCAATTATCTCCAAAGACAGAGGCAAAACTCCATTAACCACATGGCAGAAAACAAACAGTAAAAGACATAAAATTACCTACAGTTACATTCAGTACATAAAACATATACATTCTACATTATTAAGCGAATGGCGCTCAGACCACACGAATACAGTTTAATCGCCATGGAGCCAAAGTCTTTACACAGTCAGTTTCATGCGAATGGGCTCCATGGGATTCCTATCTGGGATACAACACACTCAAACAAATCTACCGAACACCAGGCAGAAAAGCACGAACAAGTCTTTTCTGAAGGGAAAAAGATGTCTTTTAACATGGGGCCATAGTCCAAAGGCAGCAGGCGAGCAACCAGGCTTCTCCAGTGACCAGTGGCGAGGTTGGTTTCGCCACAATATATATATATATATATATATATATATATATATATATATATACTCTGAATCCACACATCCTGTCACTACATACAAATACATACATATATCCACATACACCAGAGCTCACCGTGATTATACACACAGAAACATATTCAATGCACTTACAATCAAATACTTGTTACACCAGCCTTTCCCTTTTATAGCATGTATATTAGTCTGCAGGGAGCCCATGCCACTGTCAGTCCATCCCTGCTACTGTACATATTTCATTAATAGAAAGACAATGTATAAAGTAGATTTACTTATATATCTAATGATATCGCAAACAAAACTTTCACCGGAAGTATATAGAGGGCATCGTATGTTATACAATTCTTGTGATACGGCCATGTGGATTGTAATTGTTTATTTGTTATATGAAAAAGGCAACAAGAAAAAAAAAGAAAGACAATGTATAAATACAAATATGGGTACGGTAAGTGCTAAGCAGTCAACTATGATTAAATGAGGCAGCAAACTGTATAAAAGGGACTCCCTTTCACCCCGTGTGTTGGACTTTTTTCATATATTTCAATAATGCCTCATCACACTAGTTAAAACAAAATCTTGATATGTACACACTCTATTTTGTTTTTACTCTTTTCAAAGCTGATGAACTCAAGCACTTCATATTGACCAACTTTCTTCCAGATATTTATAGTTCTGCTAACAAACTATTTACTTCTGATTTGCTGACCAAGGACCTCTTCCTGTGTGATTCATTTCCTTCTTATGCCATTCAAAGCTACATTTTCATTTATTATTTTATAAAGCACAAGGAGATTATACAGAACAATACATCACAACAGTGTTACAGATAAAGTGATGTTTAATAAACATCACATGAAGTTTAACTTAGCATGCATGTAATATAATCTAGTAAGAGTTAGTGATGACAGAGACAAAAGTTATTCAGTTATATGGAAGAGGACATCAGACTGTAATGGGCTATATATGATAAGAAGGTAAATACACGGTAAGAGACTTGGCAAATATATAAGATTCTATAGAATATTTAAATGAATGATTTAAATTTGCCAAGTGTGGGTGAGGGTCTGACTGAATGAGGCCCTATGGACATGTGCAGCACTGGAGATGGGAATGGAAACAATTAATAGAAAAGAGGCACAATGAAGAGGGTTGAACAATAGTATTTATAGAAAAAAGTATGGATTTACAGAGGTACAGTTTTATAGCTCAGTAGAGAAAGGTCAGGACTTTGAATATATTCTGGAACTACTATGAAGTCAATGAAGAGATTGCAGACTGTGGTAGAAGTGACTAATGGCAAGGGAGGTAAAAGAGCCTTACAAAGGTATTTGTGACCCATTAGCAAGGGGCTAGGAGGTGGACAGTCAGTTCTAAGAGCACTGAGTTGCAGTTCTTTCTAATATTAAGAACAGATTGATTCTGTAAATGAGATGGGTTCTGTGAAGGAGACAGGAATTAATGACTAGATTGGGCATTTGTTTAAATTTTCAGCAGTTGGGCCAGTCGACCCAAAGATGAATGGAGGAATGCAAATGGCTATTCATTTATTTATTTATTATTTATTACTGGAATTTATAAAGCTCCAACAGATTTTGCAGCGCTGTACAATTAGTGGAGAACGTACAATATACACAGACAAATACATCAGACATTAATGGAACAAAGAACGAATTGCTTGCTGAATGAAATTCATCCATGCAAATCGTTCGTTCATTTTAGAGAATCTGTAAAAACAGATATAACAATATTATAACATACAATGGACAAAAAAGCAAACATTAAATGGACACACTCACATTAGATAGAGTGGGTAAGGATAACCACTAAGCCTAGGGAGGATCAGTCCTCTGTGATCCAATCCATATGTACAATGGATACAACAACAAGATGATCCAGAAGTCTACAAAAAATTATGTGTAGGTCCTGGAAAAGAAATGCAAATGTCGCTTATTATGTTATTGGATAAAAGTAGACTGCAGGGTATTTTAAAGCAAAAATAAATTATTATACTGAACTGTTATAACAATGAGGTATTCTATAGTACTTGCACAATTGTTAGTTAGGGAAAGGTTAAATAAGATAATCGTAGGCTAGTTATGGTGCAAAGCACAACATTAGAAACTGCTATTACTCCAGTGTCACAGTAAAACAGGAAGTTTATGGCCTGCAAGTTATGTCACTTGGTGTCCCGTTTGGAAAGCATTAGGCAACCTGTCAGCCATAGAATGTGTTAGGTGCAGATTGGTATGTCAATCAAATCTAATGGGAGTGGAACTCAGTGTGGGCCCCTACCCAGTGAGAGGTTAGGCGATATTACAGGCTTAGTGTTATCGTGGCAGCGTGAGTGCTGAGTTTGAGTAAATTAATGTACCCTGTGCCACATTTGTAGTCATACAAGAGTGATGGCTGATACGTCAACTGGCTGACAAGGCTAAACAAAGGCATACAGGCATAATATATTCTCTACTTGACAGTATAGGCTAAGAGTCATGTAAGATACATTAGAGGCATGGAAATGGAGGCAGAAGAGATAGCCATAACAAGCGAGAGTAACACAAAACACATTATAACACATAGGCAGTAAATATGTGTCAGGAAACTGACAGGGATCCAATATGCAGAGTGCGCACAGAAGGAGGTACGTATACCGGACCTTAGAATGGCCGGACTAACGTAAGGACAAAGCAAGAATAGTCAAAAGGTAAGCCGAGGTCAAGGGAGCCGGAGGACAGGTAAGCGAGATACAAGCCGAGTCAAAGGAGAGGAGAGGACAACAGGACAAAAGACAAGCAAGGGTCAAAACCGGAAACACTAGATAAAGAACGCGCTGAGTGACTAGCAAGCTAGAACCACGACAGGGCAATGAGCAGTAGTAAAGGTTTCCTTTAAATACCCTGTTACCTAAATAGAGACCACGCCCCCAAAAGGTCCGGAATAGCGGTTCCCGGCACTTTATGCAAATGCCGACGTCATGACGTCGACGCTAGCCGTCGCGTCATAAAAGGGGGAGGAGCTAGCGCGGCCGGCGCGAAAACGGCCGAAATATGCCGAAATGCTAGGGGAAGGGAGCCCCTAAGCAGAGAGGATGTCCTCCCTGGATACATCACCAACAGGTACCCTGACAGTACCCCCCTTCTAGAAACGCCCACCGGGCGGATGGGACCTGGCTTAGAAGGAAAACGAACGTGGAAGGCCCGTAGAAGACGAGGAGCATGCACGTCTATACCAGGAACCCAAGACCTCTCTTCTGGACCATAACCTTTCCAGTCTATGAGGTATTGCAGCTTCCCCCTAGAAATACGAGAATCAAGGATGGACTTGATGATATATTCCTCCTGACCATCCACACGGACCGAGGATGGAGGAGTAGAGCGGGAGGAAAATCTGTTACAAACAAGAGGTTTCAATAACGACACATGAAAAGAGTTAGGGATGCGTAGAGTAGGAGGTAGATCCAGCAAATAAGAAACCGGGTTGATCCTCCTCAGTACCCTGTAAGGACCAATGTAACGAGGAGCAAACTTCAAGGAAGGAACTTTCAGGCGAATGTGTCTGGTACACAACCAGACCCTATCC